GGGCGGCGCGCGAGTACACGTCCGTGCTGCAGGAGTACTCGGAGCTGGAGCGGCAGCTGTGCGAGATGGAGGGCTGCCGCCTGCGCGTCCAGGAGCTGGAGGCCGAGCTGCTGGAGCTGCAGCAGATGAAGCAGGCCAAGACCTACCTGCTGGGCCGGGAGGACCACCTGGCCGAAGCTCTGCTCGCGCCCCTTACCCAGGCCCCTGAGGCTGACGACCCGCAGCCGGGGAGCGGGGACGACCCGGGCGCACAGGACGGAGTCTCCTCTCCTGCCGCCTCCCCAGGCCATACGGTGCGCAAGAGCTGCAGCGACACGGCGCTCAACGCCATCGTGGCCAAAGACCCGGCCAGCCGGCATGCGGGCAACCTGACGCTGCACGCCAACAGCGTGCGCAAGCGCGGCATGTCCATCCTGCGGGAGGTGGACGAGCAGTACCATGCGCTGCTGGAGAAGTACGAGGAGCTGCTGAACAAGTGCCGGCAGCATGGCGCCGGGGTGCGGCACGCAGGCGTGCAGACCTCGCGGCCCATCTCCCGGGACAGCTCGTGGAGGGACCTGCGCGGGGGTGAGGAGGGTCAGGGCGAGGCCAAGGCGGGCGAGAAGAGCCTGAGCCAGCACGTGGAGGCCGTGGACAAGCGGCTGGAGCAGAGCCAGCCCGAGTACAAGGCGCTCTTCAAGGAGATCTTCTCCAGGATCCAGAAGACCAAGGCAGACATCAACGCCACCAAAGTCAAGACGCACAGCAGCAAGTGAGCTTTCCTCTCCTGGGCCTGCGGTGGCCCAGGTCACAACGCCCCTGTGCCCACACCGGGCAGCCCCTGGTCAGTGAGAGCGCTTTGGCAGCAATAGGACACAGCCAAGGCTGCTCAGGGGTGTGTGTGAGAAAAGGGGCTTCTGATCCGGGGACACAGCATGCTTCCTGCAGATGGGTAGGTGGTCATTGCGTCGTTCCTCCCAGGAGCCCTCAGCCACCCTGCCTCAGCCCAAAGGCGCAGCTCAGAGGTTCAAAGCCAAACGCCCCCGCTTCCTGGGGATCTCTCAGCCCCTGCTTCATGTCCTTGGCCCTCGCGGTCAGATGTATGGCCAGGCTTCTGACAGCCATTCTAAATCAAGTGGCTTTTTTACTTTTTCCTCTAGGTTTTTCTTTTTTTTTCTGAGAGATTTGCAATGCAAGGTCTCCTTGACCCCTTGCCACAACTGGAAACACTTGAAAGGAGACCCCAGAGCCAACCACGTCAAGTTCTGGGGTCTCCCGGACCACACACTGCTTCTCCCCAGCTTTGAC